GCTGAATTTCTTAACCTAAATTCACTGGAGGCCTTTAGAAGCAATAAATAGAAGTAATTAAATAAAATAATGATAAATAAAGCATTGAATGATGGAAATTAATTAAAAAATAAAATAATAACTAAAAGTATAAATAGATTAAGTAAACTAATGATAAGTAGCTAAATAACAATCAAAGTATCGCAAAATTTAAATAATGATGTAATAAAACAAAAGAAATTTGCTAATTAGTAATGAATTAAAATATGCTATCCAAAAAAAGATGAGATAATAAAATAAGTGAAAAATTAGTAAGCTATCAACTACAAGAAATAAAATAAAAGTAAGCATTTTTAGTATAGTTCGACCGCCTCATCCGCGACCAGGAGCGCAAATACGCATGCACCATTCGGACCGAATTATTCTCAAAATAGGGTGGAAGGACGAGAACTTTCTTTCCCTTCAGCATATCTCTTTCCAGAGAAGAGAAGATTTCAACGTGATCTTTCACGTCGCAGCAAGTAATAACGCCCCTTGTGGACGAGTCTATGTGTTTTGGCAGAGTGCCAACCAGGGTTGCGTTTGAGAAGGTCGAACTATAGTATTTATTTTTCGTCGACAAATATAATCATACAGAGCTCGCCGCTTATTCAAATCAGTTCCATTTAAACATATTTGTGTTTATTAAGCGTCTGAGTTAATAGATTATTAGGCGTCTGAGTTAATCTTTAATAGATGGCGATTTGTGTGTTGCAAATCATAATATCAGTTTTAAACTTTCCGAACAAAATAATAACCAAGAGTTAATTTAAAAATTAATCCTAAAATAATACTCAAACTTTTATGCTAAAATTAAACTATTTATGAAATTTTAGAAGTTCATTTTTAATTAATAAAGTATAATTATTTTTTTGAGGAAGTTTTATCTCTTATAAGGAGTTACTCTGTCTTTGTTTCATACTGTTCAACAACACTTTTTCAATTGTATTCTCAATTTCATACGATTGCTGGTAGCGGTTTTGATCCGCACCTTTCAGTTCAAGAGTTTTTCTTTTCTACACTCGATTGATGTTAACGTTTCATCACTTTTTTCTGCATCACGTTTGCTGTCAGTTTCTGCAGTTCTTTTAACACTTGACTATAGAGGTTGTTTGAATAGTTTTGAGAACTGACACAATTTATAAAAATGAGTATTCATAAATTTCCTCATTAATTTCTCAAACATCACATGTAGCTGGCAATTACTCTTAGACTTCTCTTATATAAAAGCCACGTTCGAAAACAGTTTTTAAGAGATTTTAAATTAGAAGAAAATTAACCTCTGTGTCACTATAATATTATTGCTACTAGCAGAGTTATCGATTTACTTATCTTCTTCAAAGTGCTTGCATTTCCACAAAATTCAATTCAATTCCCTATTTGTTCCCTTTACTGTAATGACATTTGAAAGCTTTCGTAATAACCCTGGTATAACGGCTAAATATTAGATACTGTATTTGCCAGAAGGAACACTAATGTTTTTTTTTTTCAGAAAAAGACCAGAGATGTATATACTGCATAGTTGTATAATTAGTAAATATATCTTTTCATTTTTCAGCTTACTGTCCCATTTCAAAAGAAAATCGGTTAGAAAAAGAGGAGATAAATTCTTGACTCCTTTCAAACATCGAGATTTTCTGCCTTTTTCAATAATCAGTGTTAATTGTTGAATCCATATTACAAGTTACTGAGCAACTCATTCCTTCAGATTTTAAATCAGCTGTTGTTTTATTTCTAAATATCAAATGTGTGTTCTGGTAATATTCTACTACGCAATACAGTTTCGACTGTGTTATATATATCTTGTTTATATTCAGCTATTAGAAGAAGTAGAACGTCTATTATTCAGCCGGCATGATCATCTGCCTGTTCCTTCTCACCACGCAGTTTCTGATGAGGAGTGATGGATTCTTCTTCCTCTAGTTTGTAAGCCCTCTGTCAGTTGATACAAAATTCTTTACTAGAATTAAGTAAGTTAGGGAAATAAATGTCTAGAAATAAAACCTTTCTAAAAAACAGTTTCAATTTCTCTCGATTTGCGGTTCGTGTTTACTTGAGGCATTTGTTTTTTTAATAATTTCAATTCCTTGGTTAAGTACTTGGTACTTGGTACGCAGTGCTGCTTGAGAAATGCCTAGTTTAACTGTAGTTTTCCTGTGGATACAGTTACCAATAACATCAAAATATTTTAAGAATTTATGCTTTTCATTTTATGCTTTTTTACCACTATAGTTTCAACAACGATGGTTTTAAACTGCGAAACGCATTATTTTCGATGACGATATTTTGTACCACGATGTTTTAGAACTGCGATGTTTTTTTTCTCTTAGCTTTTTTTTTCTCCCGCCATGTTTTGTACCGTGACATTTTCGCCTTGCGTTGTTTTCTTCTCGACGTTTTCGTCCGTGATGTTATCGACGGACACCCACCTCATAGGCTATTGTTTTAAGCAATACTGAAGGGATACAGAAAACCGCAACCAGAGATTTTAAACAGTGTTGCAAATGAGGAGTTCTTCAAAAGAATCGAACAGATGTATGAACTTGCCAATTGTTGTATATAGTCTCTAAGATTGTATACTGAAGGTCAAGAAGTGAGAATGTTGTTTTATCAGGAATTCGATTTTTAGAACGTTTTATTAATGATGGGAAAATTAGAAGTTCTTAAAATAATTTGATATTTTCGTAGCATTAAAAAATGCCTTAACATTTTTATTAGTAATCTTAGAGTTGTGCGTCAAGATAATTTTCCTTCAATAATGATAAACCATTTATATCCAAAATGGAAGCGAAATTTTTACCTAGATTTTGATATCTTAAATATACCTAGAATTTATAAATTCTCTATCATGAGAAAGTGAACAACAATAGCTAAACAAATTTCCTTACGTGACTTATTTTAAACTCGAAATCCTAAGGAATTTTAGATGATATAACTAATTACCAAGATTTCAGTTTGGTGGATTTACCGATCACTGTTGAGCAAGTAAAGAACCTTTCGTGATTCTGGGCCGCTAAGATTAAACACAGTTAATGCATCTCCTGATTTCCTGAGGGAAAATTTCTCTGATGCATGGACTCCGGAAATCGATCTTGGTAATTCTTCAGATGCAGCTCTTAGGTCCCAGCTGATTTCAATGGGCGTTTATTAAGTCTAAGCGTTTAATAACAACTTTAGTTGCTGAATATTTTACTGTGCACCAGAGAAATGGTTTATGGAATAAGTAAACATCGGATTAATTGAGATTACCTCTTCTAAATGAGATCTTTTGATGTGTGTAAACTATTATCTCATTAAAACCACCCATTCCTTTACTTGATGCTAATTGCAAAAGAGAATAGGGAAATAGAGGAAATACAAAAGCTAAGTTTATACATTTGGCTTTTGGCCAAGGAAACAGTATCATGAAATGCGACATTTGCAAAGGTAATCCATGACGTAGGCAATATAAAGTAAAGTCCAAATGCAGTCAAACTTCGTTAAGGAGTCGTCTTTGGAACTGAGAAAAAATTACGGTTAAATAGAATGACCTGTTATCTGGAGTTATAAAAAATTATTATAAAAAATTATGCAAGTTAAAAATTGGTATATTTTTTTAACCAAGAAGCAATATACAAAATACAGTTTTGCGGTCAAAAAGGAAAAAGAAATTGTTTCTATTTTCCTAAACATACAACATGTTTCTTCTTCTTCTTCAACTAACTGAAACTTGGGAAGTTAATTTTAATTAACATGGAAAGCATAAGATTAAACAAATGATCATGTTTTTATTTTTGTTGTAATGCAATTAAATAACATTTATTTTTAAAAGAATTATATGACTTGTTGTTACCTATAAAAATTAAAATAACACATTTTGTCGTTGACGTAGAATTATGAAACAATAGAATACCTTTTTTGAAAATGCTACTTTATAGGACTTGAAAATTGCTTCAAACAAAAGTTCGTTCATATTGCGCAATTGATACTAAAAATTTAATAGAACTAAAATAAAGCAAATGTTTTGTATAACACTAAGGCTTTTACATGTTTCCTAAATTCACAATGTATCTCCACTTTTGCTGATGTAATTAATGTCTAGTAGACAACACATTTCATTTCAGATTAGTGTAATGCCATATAAATAAAGTTTGCGAACTTCCTGGAAACTAACAGGGGCTGGAAGTACAAAGAACAGTACCCTCGTTCAACTCTGTCTCGAAATACCACTTGGGATTAAATCCGAAGATAAGGTTGGCCACCGCTTTAACGGGCGATGTCTTGCTCCTGTGCTTCTTATCCCACCTTAACGACAAATATTGAATAAAGTACTATATTTAATTATCTCTATCATTCCTCGCTGTGCGCTATTTGAGATTTCCTTAATAAGTGCTCCAGATGAGCAGAAAGAAATTGACGCTTAATCGATAAGTTACAATTACAATAAGATAAAACACAAAAGATTTCGAGAAGGGTATTAGGCATAACTCCCACTTCTTAGGAAGAAAAGTGTTTTAAAGGTTGGAGGAAAAATTCTATATTCATATGGAGCTTAATGGGGGAGGAGAAAATCCAAAATGAATGTAACTCCATCTGTGAAGAAAAATGGCAATGAAATGAGAAAAGCTGAGTTTTGGAAGAACTAAGTTGTAATTAAAATCATAACCTAAAGATGATATTCTTTTAATCTGAAAGGCATTAAGAAAATCCAGTGCACCAGTTGAAGGAAATTTTTATGTAATTTTTGCAAAATCCATGCCAGAACTGTGTTTAAGTGATAAAATGTGATTGTGTGTTATGAGCGTATTTCAATATCCACGAGTTGCGATGCAGTTGTCGTTGAAAGCTTGTGATCGTACTGCCTTTTCTGGGTTGCTGTTCTCCGCTAGCAGAATAACCATAACAGAATTAAAACAAAAACTGTAAATTCTTAATGAAACTGTACCTACGTCCACTCCTAAGGATATGCATTGTTAAAACATTATAATTACTTTTTTTTTCAGGGTCACAATGTCAGGCATTGGACACAGAGAAAATTTGGGCTGCACTGTAGTCACTGAGTACCTGTCCACCTGGCAAGCCATGGGCCTGGAACTGGTGCTTACTTTCATCGTGGCTTTCACAATGTGTGCAACAGCTGATCCGAATAGAAAGTCTCTAGGAAGCGATGCACTTGCAGTGGGGCTGGCATACCTAGTGTGTTCTTTGATTGCTGTAAGTGCATCTTAAACTTATTATGTAAGTTTGACTTTCATTAACATGGTAAGTGATAAATCGGAACCTGTTAAATTTCGAGCCAATTAAGAACTTTTAGAAATATTCGAAGTGGGATTCAAATATTGATTTATAACTGCAGATAATAAAAGAATGTAGAAAGTTAAGTTTAATATTTTCTTTGTGCTATCCAGTTTCTTCCACTTCAGGCTGTCTGGATGGGGCAACAAAATTCGTAACACAGATTTTCGAGATGAGAACATCAAAAATATCATTTTAAACTTCTTTGCCTTTTCTTTTTTTTTTAACAAAATTTAATTTCTTAAAAGCAACTTTTAACATCTTCATCTGTCTTCTTGCCCCCTGGCCAAATCGCTTGGTTTTGTGTAAAAATGTAATTTTAATTCTAAAAGTAGTTTTTAAAATTTTTAACTGTAGTTGGTGTTTTATCTTTTTCTATATCTTTCAGTTTTTAATGAAGATATTTTGTGTTTTTATTATTTTTGCCTTGCCGCGAAGTGAGAACTGAATTAATTGAATGAGAAATATATCTCTAATGAAATTCGAGGAAGTAGGTGTTTCATATTAACAAAAAATACCGTCGACAGTCTGTTTCGAACAGAGGAGAATGTTTACGAGTAGCGCATGCGCATTAGGTAAGCAGCGGTTAGATAATTCTTCAGATGATATAATTTTTGTGCATTCTGAGTTATAAATTGAATGAGGTGTAACGCTGTTAAAACATCCTAGCGCCAGAGTATCGCTATTGTAAATTAATATAGTGAATTTTTAAAAAAAGCGCATGCATTCTATTGTGGTTTATGCGCTGTCGGCGAAATAGATTTAATTCATTTCAATACGTTTAAATGAAATGCAAGAAAAAATGCGTATAATTTAATATCCCGTACAAGGAAGTCATGTGGTGTACACATCAGATTTTTTATTAAAATTTACATTTGTAAACTAATTACATTCTGTAAATTTTTTCAACTTTGCGATACGATTTTAGATCCACATTAACATTTAATTAGACGGCGTCTCTTTACATTATACTACATTCGCACAAATATTCTTTATCAAATAGCGCGTTTTTTAAAAAGAACTGCTTAGTATCGAAATTGTCTGGCCGTTTTGGTAGGAACGAGATGTAACTTAATGTAACTGCGGGAAACAAGTTTTTCTGGTGCATCTAAGGCCTAGCAAAATTTAGAATAATTGATGGTTTGATGATTTTGGTAACGATTGCTTATCAGCAGAAACACTAGAAGCATAAAATATTTAAAACGAAAATTAATCGGAGTTAGAATTAAAAAATTCGTAAAAAAAATTCCGAAAATCGCGGTTTCATTCGCCACTTTCGACGAAAATAGTCGCAATATTTTCCTCCCGCATAAATTACTATCCTGTACATAATTTTAATATTTTATTTAAAAAAGTCTGAAAATTATTTCTGAATTTCCAACGTATTTGCAAGAGTAAAATTAAATTTGCACATTACGAACGTTTTGTCCTCTTTTGTAATTTCAGCTTCCTGCAACTGGAGCCTCAATGAATCCTGCAAGATCACTGGGGCCAGCGTTCGTAATGAACACTTGGACCAACCATTGGGTGAGATTAAATTTAAAATGCTAGTTGATAGCGTTTATTTCGACATTGTGTCTGAATATTAATCAATCTAACACTTCATTTTTAATCTCTCAGTATTATTAAAAGTTAAACTTCGTAATTTATAAAAACGATACTGTAAAGGAAACAAAAATAAGAAACTGTATTTGAATGTATCATTGCCTAAAATGAGGCATGCAGGTAAGTAAATGCTTCCCCTTGTATGTGCTGTCGCGGTATAAACGATTGAAACATCGTAATATATGCTAAACTTATGGCTCGAATGCCAGCAAAGGTGCAACTTATTTCTCATGCTTTTTGGTCCGAAAAACCTAATAGTCTTTACAGTGGCGTTTAAAATTCACAGACTCCCTAAAGTTAAGAATTAGAAATGTTCGAAATTTTCGAAAGCGTAGTTAAATTTGAGTGGGTAAAAATCGCTGCAGATGCAGATGGCATGATGCAAATAATGTATATTACAGCCAATCACGGCTGAAGACATGTTAATTAGGTAGTCGGTGGAATTAGGCAATCATTTCAAATCATTTTGAAGGGCTTGAGGAAGTTCATTTAAATGCTGATACGAAATGTTTGTAATTTTCTTAAGACTGAATTTTGTTAACATTCGTGTTTCTATGGTGGAAAGAAGACGACTGGCGGATAACGAGTTCAGACATGCTGTAGGACGCATGGAAGAGGACAGTCATTCAAAGTTGTCTAATTTTTCATTGGCGTTGATCATTCGGTAATTTCTCGTATGTGAAAACAATTCTTATTAAGTCAAACAGTTGCCTGGAGACATGTGCTCGGTAGATCAGGGGTTATCACCGTTTCTGAAAATCATCACATTCCTACAGTAGCCAAGCGGATTCTACGAACGATTTCCACAACTGTTACAGCCATGATTGCAACGTCACTTAGTGTGTTAATATCAGCCACTACTAAGCTCCGAAAGCTTTGCATAAAGGCAAACTATGCCTTAGGTATCAAGCTTTTGTGTTCCCACTAAGCAATAATCCTGAAAAACAAGATTAAAGTGGTGTTATCAATATCTCAATTGAACTATCGCATTGGCGCAAGATTCTATTCACTGACGAATCCACAGTTGCCCTGGAATCAGATAATAAGCGTGTAAGGATGTGAAGAGATCACATCACACGGAATAAGGCCCAGGACATCATCGCACTTCACACAGTAAGAGGTGCAGTATCATTGTATGGGTTGGAATTTCGATGGAATATTGCAGCTAGTTGCACATCTTTAAAGAATGTTCTGTGACGACTGCGTGGTATCAGGTTAAAAGTTCTAGACCCCAGTTGTGAGATTCCATATTGCAGCAGTTTGTTCCGATTTCCTTTTTATGGATGACCATTCTCGTCGAGCCAACATTTTAATGGGTAGCTTGGGATTGAGAGCATTTCTCGTATGAAGGAGCCAAGATGTTCCCCGACCTTTAAAAATTTTGGGGGGCGCAGACACTCATACAGTCCAGTCTCAGACCGTTAAAAAACTGCCTTGATGGAAAATGGCCGTTGCTAGCATCTGCCATGGTTGACCATCTCAATATGTGATGGTCAAGTTAATGTGAAGGTTCGGAGTGCACATACTTTATTAATGTGAGCGTTGTTTGCTTTTAGCTTTAATCAACAATTCGTCAATGATCCAAATGTGACATAATCATATAATTTACAAAAATCGAATATTGCTCTCATCTTTGTACCTAATGCTATTTTTTAAATTTATAAGTACATTGATACCGTCATGTGCACTTTGATATTAATCAAAGCTTTTTTTTGTTATTGTTGTTGATTTTATCTTTGCGTATTTAACTTTTGGAAGCCAGTGTAAGTATGATTAGTAACATATCACCATTTAGCTCTGGTCTACTGAATTTTGTACTCCTCCCTTTTAAGTGGAAGATAAAAGGAAATATTAGTCGCACTTCCCTGTACTTGATATTCTGAAGTAAAACGTAAACATGTCCATGTCTAGCCTAAACATCTAAGCTTACCTATTATATGTGGCTTTAACATTGCAATGAAATTGATCATTTTGATTCCTCATACATTCCAGCTCTTGTCAACTTTCGTATAGAACTATATATTCTAATTACTATAGTTTGATAGGTGCTGATTTTTTTTCTGTTTTAACCATTTACAGATCTCGTTACGTTATTTTGAAGAACATTCATCATATTGCTAAATCTGCATCTCGCAGGTATTCCTTATAGAATATTGCTATGATCAGGATTTGCAATATTTCAGCTAATTATCCAAAGTTTTTTATGTATAAGTCAATGAAACGTCTTGCTGGAAAATAAATACTAATATAAATATTGTTTGGTCACAGATTTATAGAAATATATCTTCATGAAACAATGAGACTTTACCTAATGACAGTGTCGTCCGACGACCGAATAGTAATATCGCTGAATTGATAGTTCGACCCAGGTTTGAATCCCAGCGAACAAACTGGCTACATGATAGATTTCGTCGTTTTTCCATAGTGAAACTAATTACGAGCCAGCTTTCCTTGAAATTCCTCCACGGGCGCATTCCTCGGCTTGGCTGCTTTCACACATCCAATGAATAACATGTCGAACAACTGTTTCAAACAATTTTTCGACTTGATTGACCACTGAATGAAATACGCACGATTTTTTCTTTTCTTTGTATTGTATAAAAAATTGTAAGCTGTTCGTTTTCATCCAGTCAGCATTCAGCATCGAATTCCTCACCTCCATAATCATAATTGAGAACCAGTTTCCCTTTTACCTGGTAACCTCAAAACGATCTGTGGTGATTGGAGGATTTTATATCATGTGACAAAGTAGAAAAATTTTACTAAACAGTTGTTCGTATGAAATGTTTTGAATGTGTGATATTTCCATTACGCAGATTATAATCGAGTGCTTTTCCATAATCCAGGTAACCAATCCAAATCAGTCTTTGTCTAATAGTCATACCTTTTCTCTCTAACACTAGATATGTTAGAGGAATTTTAATACAAATAGATGTTATTTACTCTGCTTCGCTTAGACAAACATAGTCATAAATATGCAAGATTACGTTAGTATCTACCGGCTGATCAGATGAGCGGCAAATTAATGTTTTGTTTTGAAGTATTTTAGCATAATCGAAATAACAGTTGCATAATCGAAATAACAGTTGCATATCGAAATAACATTTCATCGGATAACAGTTGCATAACCTTTCTAAGTTATTCGATTCTAACCGTCATAACCAGTACATTTCTTGCAGAATTAACTGTCTTGACTAAATTACAGTTCATATCTACTAATATTCACTAAGACTTTTATAAAAAAATCTACTAAACTTTATTTTATTTTTACGGATATTTGATTTTATTCTTTTTGTATGTATTTTACGTGAGCAAACTTGGTCGACATTCTGGTTACTGTTTGAATTAGTTTACTTTTTACATTAAAACCCTTGACGCGCTGTGGTCGCGCCCTGAAACAACCAATTTTCGAATTTTTTTTCTCCTCTTCCTTCCGAAATTTTTGAGTGAAAATCAATTGATTACTGGTCTTTTGCCTCTAAATAACACAAAATTACTCAATCATACTGATTAGGTCTTAGTCTCAATCGGATGCCTTTAAACTCCTTTTCATGAACAAGTAACTTCCTTTATTAATATAAAAACTCTAAATTTCAAAGTTATTCATAAACTCCTGATGTCTATCATAAATAAAAATAGCAAATTAAAGCAATATAAAACAACCCTCATATGTATGGCATTTGCTTTTGATTCAAGGCCGACCAATTGCCCCAATGCTCGAGGCTCGGTGTCGCGCCTTAAACACTGCTCTTCCAAGCGTTGCTTGCTCTCGATAGAATGTTTTTCTTTTTACCCGATATAGATAAGGGTTTTAAATCACAGGTTATTTTATACAACATACTGCACCTCCCAGTAAAAGGTCTTTCTTTCCAGCACTTCAACACTGCTCCCCAAGCTAGTTTTGTGATTTTAAATTCTTCCTGTGGTTTAAATTAATTACATATACTTTGCGTAATAAAAATAGAAATCGTATAAGTTTTATTTAAATAAAAATTTCGAAAATTTGGACGAAATACGAATAAATAAGTATGATGAACGAATGATCCGTATCAAACCAAAAGACTAGACCCTCCTCATTAACATAAAAAAAACAAAGAAGATGAAAGAAACGAAATAACGCTGGACATATCCAGTGAAATTTAGATCAATCAGGTATCTTTTCTAGACAGGAAGAACCGTAGAAGAAGATCTTGGCGAAACGTGCATGGGGATGCATGTACCAAAAAGACAAACTGCTTTGAACATTCACAAAAATATTTGTTCTTGAATTTAAAAAAAAAAAAAAAAACCACTGAGTCTTTTTTTATCCTTATTGTATGAGTTTTTGTTTTTAATCATCACCAAACGCCATATATGTAGGTATTTCATGCTAGAAAAAGTACTAATGTAATTTTTTTTTTTTTCTGACATTATTTTATATAATGATTATATATATTATATTATATATATATATTATATATTTATGGATTCCTACATGCATTTTATTTTAAATTCTAAATTTCATCATTTATTGGAATCTCGCGCGGAGAAGCTCAGTTTTTTTTCCTATTTACCTCGGTAAGTCAAGTCTAGACGCGTGGGGTTTCCGGTCGACACACCCACAGACACTGGGCAGAGAAGATTTTTTTAAATTCATATATTATTGTATCTAGGATCATATATCAATTCTAAGTTTAGTTAAAAAAATTATAAAAATAATATCGCGCGCGTCAAAGGGTTAAAAACCCAATACCTTTTCCCGCAAATTTAAGCACGTCACACAGATTCTTGTTACTAATTGTTATATCTTTAACATAAATTCTTTCCTGTTTGTATTATGAATTCTTTTGCAATGTATGCTTAATTTTCTGACCAGCTGGTCTACAAAAATTTGGATTTGATGATTTGATAAAGCTATGAAATTCATAAATCACCGAAAGCATAATATATTAGAAGGTAACATCATATAACATTGTAAAGAGTATAATTGATTATATACAGCAATATAACAGTTTCGAATACCTTAGATTTTGTTAGTAAATATAACAATCTAATTTGCAATATCATGAAAATAATAATGTTGCATTAAAATTACACATTTTAGAAAAATAGCATTAATATAAAACAGTTCCATGTTTTCTGTAATGTTTTACGATACCTTTTCCATTTATTTGAATGATTTTAATTACATTGATTTTATTGTTTTATGAAATTGTATTTTTTTACACAACGTTGAACTGCGTTTAAGCAAAATCAAAAACGCAACTAGATATAGAATAAAATTTTTTTATTAATCTTGCGTAAAAAATTTTATACAAGAAGTGCTTTTCTCTCTGTTATTGTTTCATAATGTACAGGTATTGTAGATTTTGCTTTAACATTTACTTCATTTTCACATTTCTCTGAATTAAAAAGGAAAAAAGTTCTGATTTTTCTGTTATGAACTTGGGAGGGATTCCATTTCACAGATGTCTAGGATGAATTAATTTCATATGACTAATATTTAATAACGATGCCTTGTAGATATTCGGAATTAACTTAAAAGAAACTGAAAAATTAAGTATTTATAAATCTAAGATTGTTTATCATTATCTAGATGCAATTTAATACAGCATTCTGCAGGAAGTCTTTTTAAGTTTGCGAATCATCTCATTTCGTAGCTTTCATGACGTCAGCATAAGTGCCCTGTTAACGTCAGTACTGTGGCCAATAATCAGGTAGAAAAAAACTTTTTGTGTGTTAATATATGAAAAACCAAATTTTGTGGCATTGTACAGCGTCGTTTTTTAGAACACGATAAGGGCGAAACTCTGTCTCAGCGTTGGGTGGCCGTTCAACAGACGTGAATGTAGCTCTGGTAGTGTTAACCATCGAGGAATCTTAATTTAATATTATGGGAGTATTTCTTGAAAGAATACTTCGGGACAAGATTATTTATTGCATAGTTTTCTTTTATGTGATGACACTGACTTCTGGTCTGTTCAAAAACAACTTCTCCTTTTGTGTTTTTCCCCCTCCTATTTTTATAAATAAATGACGTCAGGTTGCACAGCCTAATCTTGCTACAAGGATCGAGGTTTGTTCCACCTCTTTTTACAGGTTTCGATGATCTTAAATAGCGCATCGCAGCAGCTGTTGACACTATTGACAATGTTGATTAAGATGTTTTAGAGAAGCTAAGTTGTTTTTGAGAACAACTTAACTCTCGCATTGATAGCTCGCGTATTACGGGTCACACATAGAACATTTATATAACCTAGCCTTTGTTTAGTGAACTTTTGGATATATATAATTTAACCATTAAAACTCTTGATTCTATAAAACTTAATTCATTTATTTTAGGCAACCCCGTATTTTGTGAGATACGTCATGACAGAACTGATTACGAAAAATAATATTTAATGCATTTAAATTTATTGTAATAATTTTAACCAATTGTATTGAAATATTTTGTTTCAAATAAATAGAACAATATTTATTCTTAGGTGTATTGGAGTGGTCCTGTATTAGGTGGGTTACTTGCGGGCCTAATTTATGAATACATTTTCGACTCGCCTAAAAAGATACTTCCAACTATAAAGGAAAGAGATGATTCAGAAAGAGGTAAAATATTAATTTCATTTTTTGTCTTAAATGCTTTACTTGTAAGAAATGGTTTTCTGTTCTTACAGAGGGTCAAACTTCAAAGCATGATTTTAGAATTTACTGTTAGCCTATAGTTTTAAGACTTTAGTTTTATGTAGATGAATGCTTCATGTTCGTTCTGAATTGTTAATGGAAATTACTGAAGACTAGTGGTTTTCAAACGTGTTTTTTTAGAGCTGCTTTTGATAAATGAAATTCTCCAGCTGTTTTCTGGACTCTCCCATTTGAGTAACGATGTAATTTTCGAAACTGCACTGAAATATATTAAGATTTATTAAAAAACGGATTTTATTAAAAAACATTATACCTGTGTTATGTGTAAGTTATATGTATCCAGCAAAATGGAATACGTGAAAAAATATTGAATGATTTTCGGATATTTACAATATTTCACATTTATGACTCAAGCAGTTATTATTATTTGTGTGGATAAAACATTTCTTACCTAATATTCATAAAATAAATAAAATTTCCAAATTATTCTGTGACTAACAATTTTTTTAAAAAACGAATAGGTTGGAACTCACTGATTCTGTTACTTTCAAAGCTCCCTAGCATAAACAGAATAGTTGTTTTTTCAAATCCAATTGATAGACAGATATGAGGGGCTTAATGCTTGGGAAAATAGGAAATCGTTTCTATCCATCTTCTGTTTTTAAACCATTTTGTTTTGTGTATGACTTTACAGAAAAATTACTGTCATTATGAATGGCCAACTTAATAATGAAACATATAATTATTTTTAATATAGCTAATTATTTTGAAAAGTTCGATACACGTTTTATTTATCCTTTGGTTTGAAAGTTTTAACGAATTAGATCGAAACATATACTGAGAAAGTATTGAAAATTTTAAAGAAAATTTGCACAGAATCAAGCTGCCATATGAATTAGTCTGGAATTTAGAAATAATGATAATAAAATATGATTATTAAAATCAAATTAAATTTTTGTTTTTGAACAAAAAGGCATGTAGAAATTGTGCATATGAATTTATATTGCCTTAATTCAAGAAATATTATTTTAATGCAAGTCGAATGGCACTAAATACTGCTGTTAATGTGAATGCATACCCAAAAGTTTTAAAGAAAACAAAAATGCTCCGAAAACAAATCCCCGTTTTTGGGAATATCATTTTTTAATATGGCGTGGGATATCTTTTAGAGGAAATGTATACTTTCAAGCGTTTTTCCGCAGTATTAAAGCGTCTTTTAAGTTCTTTGAGATCGAGTAGTCTTCCAAGAAAGCAGACCTGATGGCTTCGAGGAGGAACGCTGACGGGTCATAATTTACCAGTCTAAGACATGCTCAACAGGACTGAGATGAGGCTAGTATGATGGCCAGGCTAGTATGATGGCCAATCTGTTTGAACAATTTCCTTTTGTAGTTATTCAGCGATCAAAGTAGACGAGTTCGAGTACCGTTATCCACGAGCAAAATTTCTAAGCCAGTATCAACTCTAAGTAGCATTACTTGGCAACGTACAACCTCATTATCTCGAGCGTTATAGAATTCCTGTCTTACATATGAAACTGTTTGAGACCATGTGTTATGATTTCTCTCCAGGCAAGTAAACCGGCGCTCTAGAAACTAGTGTCTTTCGTAGATATGCGATGGATGATTGCGTTTTGACGAATTTCCGGAAGCCAAATCACGCTTCCTCCAGACGATGATGCATTCAGAATCATTATTTAAATTGAACCTGGAATCATTCCTAAACATTTGTCTGTCCTAGTGAATATGCCTGTATTGACAAGGAAGACTTCATTACCTTAAGCAATCTCCTGTAGAAAGCCGAACACAACTCTGCGTTATTCTTCCTTCATCGAGCAGTATTGTTTGTTCTATTGGCAGCTGAATGGTCCAAATGTAACTATCCATCTGTTGCACAACAGATTCTTCAGCCTAGGAATGATAAATAATGACGTTCAAGCACTACAGTTACCCTTAAACGAAACGTGACCAAAAACACGACTAACCATTCCCATGCTTAAGAAGTCGTGGTTCTAGATCCTTGAAACATTCCGTTAAGCAATATATTCAGCTTTCTGGACACGGTCAACGGTGTTTTATTCGCCTCTAGTCTGTCGAGCAATTGCTTTTCTGGCTTTCATTCAAATGGTGTTTGTAACATATGACTAATAATATCCGCTTTCAGATAGTTATATAACTGCAAGTTTAATCAAAACATGTGCGAGACATCGGACATATTTCCTTTCATTTTTTTGCTCTCTTTCGCCTTATTTGCATGTTCTGTGCTCACATAGCAACGGGGTTTTGTGTCTTATAGTTAAAAGTATCATAAATAATGACAAACAGTGGAAATAGAATTCGTCTTTAAGCAATTAGCTTAATTTTTTAAATTGTTACTTATAACGTTTCAACTTTGATTTCAGTTTTTATGTCATAGGGCTGTGCTCATTATAAGGTATTTCTCCAGCCTGCCTAGCGTGCCTTCGTGGTGTGATAGTCTGCACGCTAGGTCAGTATTCCAGAGTTCCGTGGTTCGATTCCCGGCGAAAGCGTTGCTAATTTTTCATCTTGCCTGCTTCCAAAAAATACCTAATATCTCTACACAATTTTGAATTATATATGTCTCTCTTTAATAATTTTGGCTAAATTTAAACTATGTGCCCTTTATGTTCTCAATTTTTAATATTATAAGCGAGGATTTGGTAATATAACTTTAAGCTTAGCTCCTGACTTCATTATTATATTGGATGATAGTAAAATTTCCTGCCCGAAACAAACATTTGAAGGCATAGACAGTTATAGCTAACCCGAAAATGGATTTTTTATGCAAGGCGATTCAAAAATATCTCGCAGAAGTATATACAGACAGATATTGAGGACAACAAATAAGCATATATTGTAATGGAACGCGTATGCGGAAATGACGCATTTGAGGTGGTGCAGGTTGCTGTTGAGTGACAGGTAAAATAGTTCATCTGGCGTAAATCGTTTTCTTTCATATTTTCAGCGCTGTGCATTGCTACACGAAGGCTTCCAATGTAGATTTATATCTTATCTATGGGGCTGTGGACGGAAATCGAGCTACTGCTCAAATAAACTCAGGAATTGGTTTCTGTACTCCTTTGTGTATTTGCTCCGTTTTAGCTGTTGCCTCATAGATAAAATGTATGTCAACGAGCTCCACTGATATGTAGTGACGTACAAGACTCGAAATTCGAGCAGGAAATAAGTATTTACGCCAGCAGTAAGCTTTATCCTAACGCGTTTTTTTATCGCTCAACTGCCCTCTATACCAGCGCAACGGGCCATTTGCGTGCACACATTCCATTCCAAAATCCACTGATTTCGGTCACCTAGCTGCCTTTAAAACCTTTCCTGATATATTTTATTCACTCTATATATAATGTTATCACAGCCATTTTTAGCTTTTTGATTTCTTCTTAGAAATTGTGCGCGGTTTGTCTTAGAAAAAAATTATAAAATGATTTTCTGACACCTTGCACAGAATCAGACTTCATATTACTGAAATCATTAACAAGACAGAAGCAGCTAAACATCTCAAAGATAAAGATCTGTAGGTTGAGGTGGCTGCTGGAAAATTTTCTAACTTCTACACTTTTTTACGTTGTGGAATATGCGATCTGATGTTATAGTGATGGATAATGACATCCTTTCCCTTTTTAGGGGTTTTCTTGGGGCTTAATTTAAGTCAAAGGTTTCGATGATGTTCCGTTTGGCGAGAAATAATCATGTGCAAACAAGATGTTTCGCCCATGATTCTTGCGGCCAATAGAAAAACTTCGAAGAAAATTATACTTCTGCAGTCCTAATGAGTAGAAACAATATTTGCATTAGGTGAAAGGTAGGTCTTGATGTATAGTTTTGCAGTTACGTTTGTTTAAGTTCAGTTTTTTCTTTTCTGTATGTTCTTCCGTAGAATCCTCATTTTGACGTCTGTTAAGACTTTGTCTAAAAATAACTCTTTTTCATAGTTTCTAAACACAGAAACGGCTGCAGATACATGGTTCAGCCCTGCTTTTCTCTGAATATGCAGCATTCATGTATCAGGTTTGGAAGTGAATTTAAGTTCCTATAAATAGCTAAATGAGACTAATTGTCAAAAATTTCAGAAATCTCCTGGGTTATAATCTTTGTTTTTTTTCCACTAAAGTGTGCCCGATGTTATATTTGTTTCTGGCAGAATATCGAAAGGGGCGTTTATCGTCCAATGCAGCATTTCCAAATCTGCCAAACATGTTTTTACTCTGATAAGAAGAGACGCTCATTTCATGTATCTATCTCAAATATTTTTATATGGTTGCTTTCCCAAATGCATGTAACGTAACATGACGCAAATTTAATTTTCCATTTTCTAATTTTATAAAATCCTCTCACGCACAAATCGACTTTGCTGAACGATGTCTGCCTTTAAAATGGCTCACTCTATTCCTATTTAACCATCCGTATAACACATGGACATGAAATAAGCACAAGTGCTCTCTTGGGGTTATTGTGCTCATCTATGGAAACCGGGCACGGAATTTAGTCATCATCCAGTAATTTTACCTTTAGTATTTTAAGAGTTACTTTCTTAAGGCTTAAAGTATCTGAAGCATTAGGTGAAGTGAAATTCTTTAGAAACGAATATCATTTTTAGTTAATAAGTGATAAAACATTGTCTAAGTTTTTTTGTTATAAACTATAAAGGAACTAAAATGTTAAAATAAAAAATGAGGATTTTTTAACTTTATAAATTCAACAGCAATGAAAATCAATTCAAAACTATTCTCTCAAATTTGTTATACGGAAATGTTTTCTAAAATCAAGGAGTTCAAATAGAATAATTGCTGATATAAATGCAAATGGAGTTGGCTCTAGCTTTAAATGAAAGAATAATTCAAAGTTTTCGTGCCAACTTAATGGTAATTGGAAGTTTTCATCTCATTTTTATATACCCCAAACCGTAATTTTATTTGTAAAGAAAGT